ATTTACTTTGGACATACTAGCTCGGGGCTAATTCGACTTAGTAAGTCGAAATAGTTCGACTTAGTAAATCGAAATAGTTCGACTTAGTAATTCGAAAAAGCTCGACTTACTAAGTCGACAACTTCGGGTTATAACTCGACTTATAATTATAAGTCGACTTATAAGTTGGCGGTCGACTTAGCTTTTAAATTATAACTCAACATATAAGCTGACCTAAATCGATCACCTAAGTCGGCTATGCTAAGTCGGCCTAAGTCGACTTATAACTCGACTTCGTAAGTCGCCTAAGTCGATTAGTAACTCACGTCCTCAACTTATATCTAAGATATAATCCGCCGTTCATCAAAGCACTCACAGTCCTCTCGCCCTTCCGGCGCACTGCCCCCGCGGGTTTTGTCGCCTGCGCCGCGGATGCCACGCAGACCGCCGCAGGTCCGCTGTAGCGCGGACTCGGGGTGCCCAGGGGCGCGGACGTCCAGTTCCCGGCGCTCCCAGGCGCGGTCCACGACCGACCAGGGAGCGTGTTTCTCGCCCTCGACGTGGAAAACGCCTTCGGCACTGTCTCCCGCCAGGCCGTCTTCGCCGTTTCGGGGGAGGTCGTGCCAAAAGGCGGAATCCTGCTCGCGCGGCTCCACGCGAAGCCCGCGGTCGGGCTGTGGCGGGGCGGCGCGGGGGACCTTCACGAGCTCAGCACTGGGTCTGGAGTGCCACGGGGCTGCCCCCTGAGCTCCGCTGCCTACGGTGCGGCCCTGCACCAGACCACGCCCCAGCACTTCACCCACTCTCCAGGCTGGCTGATCACTGCTTATCTTGATGACATCGCGGCGGTGGTTCCGGCCGCGGAAGCAGAACCATGCATCCAGGACCTTTCCCGCGTAATGAAAGCTTGGGAACTCGCGCTGAACGAGACCAGGACGAAGGCGCGGCTCCCCCAAGGCCCCGCCCAGTGTCCCCCGGCTTTGCGGGAATGCGTGGTGGACGAGCTCCGTCTGTCGGGGTGAAATCTGACCCGCCGCCAGGACGACGACCGGGAATATCTGGCCGCAGGCTCAGGAGGCGGCGCCACGGCCATAGGCAAGGTCACAAAGGCATTGCGAGCGTTCGGGCAGACCCTGCAAGACGCCGTGGCCGCAGGCCTCGGACTCAAGAGGCTGGCGCCATGCTCCGCTGGACCGCCCAGGGCCTCCCGAATCACCTCCTTCGCGCGCAGCTGGTGGATGTGCAATCGGTGCAGACCTTCGACCGCGTCCTCCGGGGCATCTCGGACCGCTTGCTGGACGAGCCCCGAACGGACGGTGGCCTCGCTGCTGGCGCGGCCGAACCCCACCGGGTAGCTGCGCACGTGGCCGCTTGGCGCGCCGCTGCCCCGAGGGTCGCGCTTGTTCTCGGCATGGGCAGCGCCGAAGAGGTCCTCGCGAGGCAGACCACGGGCACGCAGGACTTCGCCGAAGGGTGGGCAACGCAGCCCACGGCCTGCAAGTTTCACTGGCGCAGGGCGAGAGGAGCAGGCAGAAGGACCTTGTGAGGCCCGTCGCGGTCGTCCTCCAAGCGAGGGCTACGGCTGGGCTGGACGACCGCGCGGTCGGCCGCATCCAGTCCTGCGGAGGCCCGGGCGCGGGTGCCTTCACGCTGCTGCCCGCGGCGCCAGAGCACAGGATGGCGGCCGATCTGCACCGGCTGTCTCTGCGGAGGCGGCTTCAGATGGAGGGCCCACGGCTGCTGAAGGGTCACGCATTGCAAACGCACTGTCAGAACAAGTCCCGCGACGGGGCTGTTCGCGGAGCAATGCATGCACCTGACCAGCACCGCGCCATCGCTTGCGAGACGGGGCCCGCCCGCACCGCGCTGCGCGACAGGATCCGCGACCTGCTGGCGCGTTGGCTGGCCAGGAGGGTCCCTGGCGCAGTGCGCACTGCAGCTCGGCCCCCCTCGCGGCCGCCACGCGGACTCCCCAGGCGCAGGCCGCGACGCCAGGTCCAGCGGCTCCACGATGAGGTAGGGGCGCCCCGCGGCCACCGCCACGCAGTGGACGTGGAACGCGGCGTCGCCCTCGAGCCACACGTCCCCGCTGCCGTAGACGAGGCCGCCGACAGCAGCTCGACGACAAGTGATTGCGCCGTGCCTGGACGCGCCCTGGCGCACGTGCGAGCCTCGGCGTTGTTCCGAGAGGCGCCCCCGCAGGCGCGCCCCCCATGGAGGCTCGCGCGTGCGCCAAGGCCCATTTGGCCCCAACCGCGCTGCCCGATGATCCCGTCGAGTTCAGGGGTCGGCCGCCATTTGTGCGACTGACGCGGCGCGGCCGAGGACTCCTGCAAGTACGTAGCCACAACTTGGGTGATCACAATCTTGTCCATGCCGCCCAGGCGGTCGTAGTGCTCCGCGGTGTCCGTGATGAGCTTGTGTTTTCGCTCGAGCACGAAACAGTCGAGCATCAACCCATCCTCCGCCGCCTGCACAGCTGCGTGCCAAAGATAATGATGCTTAGGCACGATCCACGCGTCCGTGTAGGCGCGCACGTGTTTCCTGAGCGCCCACCCGACATGGCGCTTGAAATCAACGTCGAACGTGTCTGGGCAACCGCCGCGTTTCGCCGCCAGGTACAGTTCCAAGACGGCATACATGGCCTCAAAGGGCCGCGCCTGGGGCAGGAACGTCGCGTGATGCGGCAAGAAATCCACGTGCAGCCAGTTCCTAAGGAACGGCAGGACGGCGAGGCAGTCCGACGCGGAGCCGACGAAATGCCCTGCTTCGACGCAAGCTTTCTTCCTGGCAGGGGAGAAGAGATGCACGGGAGCTGTCCCTCCGCCGCGGCCTGGAGCCCAGCGCTGGAAATCGGTTCGCCACCGATCCCACACGTCTGGAATCACGCGCGCCACTGCTTTGTACAGGCAGAACACCTCCACCTGGAACGTGCCACCTGCCGCGCCTCCATCGGGTCGCGCGTGTACATGTCCAGCGAGCAAACGCGTCGGAGTTCGACGTCGGCCATCAACGAGAACTCGTTCACTGTGATGCCGTACGCGGATTGGAGATTCTGGAAGGTCACTGCACTCGCCGTGCGTTGAAGTTGCACGAGTTCGTCGTGCCCGTTCGCGAACTCCTTGGCGGGAGCTGGCCGAGCGAACTCCGCTCGCGAATTCCAGGAAGTTCGCGAAGTCCGTTCGCGAACTCTCTGGACTCGCCGAGCGTCGGCCGCGCATTGCCCGCCCCCGACGCCTCCGCAGTCATCGGGTCGAACCTCGAGGCGTCGACGCAAGCGATGCCCACCAGGTAACCAGACGGGCCCCAACGGCTGAGGGTGCCAGACCCCTGGTCGAGCACGACGTTCTTGCAGTTGCAGCAGGGCCGCCAACCGCTGGAGCCCTTGTACGAGAAGGTGTCCTTGCCCGCGCTTTCGTCCATGATGAGCCTGTGGCACTTGAAATGCAACCGAGACGCGCCGACGTCGAAACCGCCGCCTCCTGGCCCGAGGAAGAGGCGCCGCGCGATGGCTCTCACCACGCCCGCTGCGGTGATCTCCTTCTTGTCCTCTGACCGAAGGACTCCCAGCGGGAGCCAGGCGCCCTCTTCTTGAAGGTGTGTGCCCAGCTCCACAAAACTGATGTACGCAACAATTGACGTCCTGCGGCTTGCAGCTTTGACCTGCGCGCCGACGACCACGTCGTCGCGGTAGAAGGTTGCACCCGCCACGGTTGCGATGGCGACGAAGGAAACACCTGCATCGCCGCCCAGAACCGATCACTCCAAGGCCCCGCCGCGCGGGCAAGCTTGGGGACGATCTTGTCGGGCAAACATACAGTCCACCTGAACGCTGGGCCACCGTCTCGGTGCGGCAATTCGATAACACCCAGAAGCGGCGCCACCGCGCGAGCCACGTCGGCGCCCACGGTCGCCGCCGCCACGTGCTCGTCGTCGTCTTGCAGCAGGACGCGGGCCACCCTGCGCGGGGGAGGCGGGCGGAGATCGGTTGAGCATTTTGAAAAGAAGAAGCCGACCAAACAAAACATCCTTCAAACACATTGCGCATCGTGATTTTTTGATTCCATGCACCTGTCCAGCGCCGCCCGCGTTACGCCCCGCAGAAGCGCTGCCTCCTGCAGCCTCTGACGCTCTGCAAGAGGCCATCGCTCGGCCATGGCGCCGCCCCCGCCTGGCGCGCCGCCGCGGGCGCCCTTCGAGCCGTTGAAGTAGGGTGGGTGAGGCGGTGGAAAAGGTTGCAAGCATCAATGCGCGGAGTACCGCCGACGACGGATGGCTGACAACGGGCGGTGTACCGCCAGAAGACTCCTGAGCATGGACAGGAAGCGGAGCACCGCCGACGACGGACGGCTGCACGCGGGCGGTGCACCGCCAGAAGAGTGCGGGGCATGGACAGGAGGCGGAGTACCGCCGTCTGCGGATGGCTGGCAACGGGCGGTGCACCGCCAGAAGAGTGCGGGGTGTGGACAGGAGGCAAAATACCGCCGTCGGCGGATGCTTGCCATGGGCGGTGCACCGCCAGAAATAAGAGGAGCATGACTACAAGGGCGTCGTGCACGAGGAAAGGGAGGCGGACCAAGGGGGAATATAGTTTTTGCTCAAGCGAAGGAAGTCTGCGCGGGCGGGGGCAGACTTCCAGCGCGCCTCCAGCGCGCTCCAGCGCGCGTCGCAGCGGCTGGGGACTGAGCAGGGCAGCCGCCGCCGAGCTCAGTCCTTCGAGGTGTTCCTCTTGCTGTACTTATTGGCCTGTAGAAGGATGATCGGGACGCAAACGCGATCGATCGGCGGTCGAACGCGATCGATCGGCGGTCGATCGCGGTCGATCGGCGCTCGATCGGCGGTCGGTCGATCGATCGGCGGTCGATCGATCCGAACGCGATCGGTCGGCGGTCGATCGGCGAAATCCTCGATGGGTCGAGCGGTCGACCAGCAAAATCTTCGATCGATCGATCGGCAGTGGAGCGGTCGATCGGCGGAGCACCGCCATCCACGATGGATGAAAAGGCCGCTGAGCAGCTCGCGTGCTCGATGGCCGAACGCAGGCCACCGATAGCGGTCTTGGCGTCGGCGAGGGCTGCCTCCAGGGCCTTCGCCTCGTACGGCAAGCTCGCCCTGGGGTCCTCGAGCGCGGTCTTCGCGGCCTCCCTGAGCTTCGAGATATCCTTGTGGCTGTCCTTCGCGTTCTTCACCGCCCAGGTCGGCACCCTGGAGCAGTCCTCGCCGTCGAGGAGCGATGCGAGCTGCACGCCCCAGGACCCCGTCTTTTCCAGCGTCTTCATCGCCAACGCCTTGCGGTCCTTGATGGCCTTCTGGGCACGTTTCTGCTCGCTGCGTTCCCTCCTGATGCGACTGCGCGAGTCCCTCCCTTTCTTGCCGCGGTCGCTGCGGCTCCTCGAGCGCTGCTTCTCGCGAGACTGGGAGCGACCCGTCTTGCGAGACTGGGAGCGCCCCTTCTTGCGGCTGTCCTTCTTGCTGTGCGCCCTGCGGCTCCTCGAGCGGGCCTTGTCCTTCTTGCTGTGCGCCCTGCGGCTCCTCGAGCGGGCCTTCTCCTTCTCGCTGTGCGCCCTGCGGCTCCTCGAGCGGCGGCCCTTCGCGTCGGCTCTGCGGGGGCCTCTGGAAGAGCGGTGCTTCTGGCGGCTGTCCGCCCTGCGGCCGCGGCTGCTGCGCTTGCGGCCGCGGCTGGAGGAGCGGTCCTTGCCGTCGCCGCTGCTGGAGTGGCCCCGCTTCAGCTGGCGGTTCTGCGAACGGTCGCCGTCGCCGCTCCGACTCGTCGAGCGGCGACCAGCGCCTGTGGGGCCCTCGTAGCCACCGCTCGGCGAGCGGTGCGTCTTTTGCGGGAGTGGCTCCACGGCTTTCTGATGCTTCGGTGGGGATGGCCTCGGCGGCTTCCTGTTCTGGCGGAGCTCCTGCCTCACTGTCTCTTCGATGTTCTCCTGCCTGCTGCCCTCGATGCGGATGCGGTAACAATCCTGCTTCAAGTCGGAATTGTACCTCACGTCGTCGTTGGCACGGGCGGCGTCCGCGTCGCACCCCCTGGGCCCAGACGGACAAGGGCTTCCAATCCCCGCCCTTGGTCTCCGTGAGGCGTTCCTTCCTCGAGACGCTGAGGACCTTCACAAGCTCCTCTTCGAACTGAGCGTTGTTCTCAATGGAAGGGTCGTCCATCGAGCGCCAGAACGCCTGCTGGTCCGCCTTGCGCATGAGAGCGAACGAGCGCGGTGGCCAGTGCGCATAGCAGCGCTGCACCATCGAACTCTTGCTGTTGCAGCTCCCACACCACCACGTGTTGGCGCTCTTCTGGGCGAGCCTGAAGCGGACGCTCTCCGCATCCCGACCACACTTGGCGCACGTCGGGCCTGGGCAGGGTGGGTCGTAGCCCGTCGTGAAGCGGCCGTAGTCATCTTTTGCTTCGTCCGTGGCGGCCTCGAACGTGTCTGAGGGCGCGGCCTGCGGCTCCTCTGCTGCCGCCTCTGCCTCCGTCGGCGCTGCGTCCTGACGCTGCTGCTGTGGCTCTGCATCCTCCGAACCCTCCGCGTTTGCTGCTGCCTCTGCCTCCGCTGCCGGCGGTGCTTGCGAGGCTGCAACCGACTTCTTGTTGTGCTGCGTCTGAGCCTGCTGCTGTGGCTCTGCCTCGTCCGCCCCTGCTGCTGCGCCCCCCTCCGCCGTCGAAGGTGCCGCCGCTGCTGGCTTCTTCTTCGCTTTCTGTTTGGCCTTTGCCTTGGGCTCCGCGCTCGCCTTTGCCTTCGCAGGCGGTGCGCCGCCGCCCTTCTTCGCGGTCAAGAACTGAGAAAGCGAGCGCTGCGACGGGGGCTGCTTGGCGGGCGGCACGGCGGCGGGGCGCCTGAGGAGAGGCCGCCCCGTCTTCCCCGCCTTTGGTTTCGCAGCGGCCGCGACCTCCTCAGGCGCGCGCGGCGGGGGCTCCTGCGGAGTCGCAGGCGAGGAGGCCTTGGGCCAAGGCGGAGGTGCACTGGCCTCCGCCGAGGTGTCGCCTTCCTCGGCCTTCGCAGAACCAAGCTCCTGCGGCCTCGAGCCTGCTTCCTGCGGCTCGTTCTTGAACGAGTCTGCTGCCTGCGGCCTCGAGCCTTCTTCCTGCGAGCTGTCTTCGGACGGCACGGGTGACTTGACGCCCTCGTGCAAGAAGGGGGGCACGGGCGACTCCTCCTCGGCGGCCGCCATGGCCCGCGGCGCCGCGGCTCCCGCGGCCGCGCGCGCGGCTCCCGCGGCCGCGCGCCAGCGCAAAACGGCTGTCGAGAACACGGCGCGAGGATGAAAGGGAACAAGGGGCAAGGCGGATGAGAGAGCAGGTTGGTTCTGGAGAAGTGGACAAGGCTGCGCAACACAGCCTACACAATTGGAACAACAGGCGGTGCGCCGCCGAAAACGCGCGGCGCGATGCGACAGCCGCGACAAGGAAAACAAATGATCGGCGTGGCGCTCACGAATATACATGCAAACAATGGGCGGTGCGCCGCCGACGACGAGGATCGATGGGCGGTGCGCCGCCGACGAACTTGTCTAACCATGCAATGGGCGGTGTGCCGCCGACAACGACGATCGAAGGGCGGTGCGCCGCCGACGAAATTGTGCAACCATACAATGCGCGCTGCGCCGCCGACAACGACGACCGATTGGCGGTGCACCGCCGACGAGATTGCCCAATCATAAATTGGGCGGTGCGCCGCCGACAAGTCCAACCGATGGGCGGTGCACCGCCGACGAAATTGTCTAATCATACAATGGGCGGTGCGCCGCCGACAACGACGATCGATGGGCGGTGCGCCGCCGACGAAATTGTGCAACCATGCAATGGGCGGTGCACCGCCGACGGAAACGTCAAACAAAACAAAGGGCGGAGCACAGCGGACAAGTCCAACCGATGGGCGGTGCGCCGCCGACGACTACGTGGTGGTAAGGTTGTGATGCTGATGGTGGTGACGACGATGATGCTGGTGGTGACGATGATGGTGGTGGCGAGGTGCTGACGATGATTTCTGGTGATGGTGAGGTGGTGATGGCGAGGTGGCGATGGTGATGTGGTGGTGAAGGTGAGATGGCGAGGTGGCGATGGTGATGGTGATGGCGATTCCGAAGAATCGGAACGAGCTCGGCGCGGCTGCGCTGAGGGCTGCGTTCCTGCGCCGCGTATCGCGGCGTATCCTGGCGTATCCTGGCGCATCCTGGCGTATCCTGCGCGCATCGCGCGACGGCGCGCCGCGATGCGCCAGGATACGCCAGGATACGCCGCGATGCGCCAGGATACGCCCGTATCGCGGCGTATCCTGGCGTATCCTGGCGTATCGCGCTCCGCGGCACCCCGCGATGCGCCAGGATACGCCAGGATACGCCAGGATACGGCAGGATACGGGCGTATCCTGGCGTATCCTGGCGTATCGCGGCGTATCTTGGCGTATCCTGGCGCATCGCGGCGCGCCGTCGCGCGATGCGCCGCGATGCGCCAGGATACTCCAGGACGCGCCAGGATACGCCAGGATACGCCGCGATACGCGGCGCAGGAAACCAGCCCTCATCGCAGCCGCGCCGAGATCGTTCCCCCTCCTCCTCCTTCTACTCATTCTCTTTCCTCACCACTCCTCCTCCTGCTGCTCCTCCTCCTCCTTCTCCTCCTCCTCCGATGGTGGTGATCGGAATGATGATGGTGAGAATGATGATGAAAAATGGTGGGGAAGGACTCCTCCTCCTCCCCTTCCTCCTCCTCCTCCTCCTCCTTCCCCTCCTCCTCTTCCTCACCCTCTCCTCCTCACCACCACTCCTCATCCTCCTTCTCCTCCTATGGTGGTGATCGGAATGATGAGGATGAGAATGGTAATGCTACTCATGATGATGATGATGATGTTGATGACGATGATGTTGATGATGATGATCGCATTTTTCCAAGCGAGAATGGCGGACCCGCCAAAAAAGAAGAGTGCGCGCACGGCCCGCGCGCGCGAGCGACCTCGCGGAAGCGCCGAGGAGTTGCGGGGGTCAGAAGCCGACCGACAGCCTTCCCGCCCCACCCCGATTCTCATGCCCCTCCCCATGCCGCACCCCCCCTCCCATGCTCCTCTCCATGCCCCTTCCCTCCGCACCTCCCTCGCCGCGCCCCTCCCCGATCTGTTAGTCGGCGTCGAGTCCCCGAGGGGCCCAAGGCGGCCTACGCGGCCGATGTAGGTCCTGCGCGGGCGGCGCGGCGGGCTGCTAGGCCGACGAGGCGGCCGAAGGGGGCGGCCGACGAGGCGGCCGAAAGGGGGCGGCCGACGCCGCCGCGACGAGAGGACCCCAACGTGGCCTCACGACGCGTTGTTGGAGAGCCAGCTGGCCAGCGTCTCCTGCAGGTCGGCGAGGGCCGCCTGCTCGGCGCGGAACGCCACGGCCGACCGCTCCGCCACTGCCTGGCAGGCCGCCGGGCACATCCTCGCCCTCGTGACGCTGTCGAAGATCACCTGCGCCTGCGCTGAGTTCAGCTGCGCGGTGGCCTCGGGCGCGATGTTGGCGCTGACGTGCGAGCTCGCTCCGCCCACGTTGAGCTGAAGCGGACCGCCCTTGCCGCTGCCCTCCGGGAAGGCCGCCGCCACTGCACTCTGGCTGAGTGGAGCGCCGTGCTCGGGAGGCTGGCACGGCGTGCTGCGAGCGCCACGGCGGCGGTTGTTCTTGAGCCACTGATCGTCGTTGTTCTTCTGCCAGCGCTCCCACTCGTCCGTGTCCTCAGTCCACTCCTCGACCTTCAAGCGCGCCCCGCGATCGCTCGCGCCATTCGTCGAACCTCGAAGGCGCTCGGACCTCGGTGAGCCGAGCGCCACCGAAAATCGCCGAAAGACGTGGGCAAGCAATCGCCTGGGCGCGCCGACCTCGGCGCAGGCCAGTTGAGGATCCGCGTCGATCTCCTCGAGGAAGTGGTAGCTCGACTTCACCAAGTGCGTCTTGAGCCTCGACAGGGCCTCCTCTCGCGTCGCGCCCTCGAAGAAACTCCCGCCTTTCGAGCAGGTCCCCGACAACGGGCACGTGCACCCGAAGACGCTGACCACGGGCATCTCGCGAAGAGAAGAGCTCGATGGCGAACTGGAGGCCCGCGATCGGGAGCGCGCCAAAGACGGCGCGAAGGGAGGCGGCCGCGAAGGCTGCGAGAGCGCGCCGAGGACGGCGGGAAGAATGGGCGCCCGCGAAGGCGCGCGCGGGAAAAGCGCGGCGCAAGCACAGCCTGGAGCCTGCGGCTGCGGAAAACATCATAAGAGGAATGGAGGAGGCGTGCAGGGAGCGTGGGGCACGCACAGGCGGTACACCGCCGAAGTTGAACGGGGGGGGAGCGCTGGGAGTCCAGCGCGCGCGGGCGGTGCACCGCCGAAGTTAGGCGGAGTGCCGCCGACGAGAGCCCATGACAGGCGGTGCCCCGCCGATTTTTTGCTGGCGACGCGCGCAAACAGATATTCGCGGACGGTCCCGCCTGCGCGGCGCGCGTCTACCGCGACAGCCGCCAATGGCGTAGAACGGCACATGAAAATCAACAAAAAAATGCCGACTGAAACTTCTACTCCGCTCTCTTTCATTTTGTCTCCTGGCTCACCGTCCACCACCTCTCCGCTCTCACGCCCCCCCGCCCCTCATGGATGTTTCAGTCGGCGCCTGACCTCCGAGGGGGTTGTCAAAGCCCGCGGCCCGCGAGTCTCAGAGGTAAAGCCCGCGGTTCGTAGAAGGCATCGCCTTGACCTTCAGGGGCAGTGGAGGCGGCCGCGCGGCCGCTGCCCTTGCCGCGGGCGCCGACCTCGCGGCCGTCGGCCGCGGGGGCGGCGGTGGCGGCGGTGGCGGCGGCGGCGTCGGCGCGAGGCACGGGCCGTCGCCGTCGTCCTGGAGCGTGCGGCGCGGTGGCGCGCGGCCGCATTTGGAGGCGCACCACTCCGACTTGGGGCCTGAACCACCACGGTTGCCCCAGCGCCCCCCGCTCTTGCGCCACGCCGGGTCGCGCCAGAATTGCGGGCCACCGTGCATGGGCGCGGGCGGCCCCCTGCTGGCGCGACCCCAGATGCCGACGTAGCGCTGCAGCAGCTCCAGTGGCTCCTGGACGCGCTTGGAGTTCCAGGCGATCGGCGCGCTCTCGCTCAGCAGCGAGCGCAAGAACTTGCAAGCCTGCACCACGTCCTCTGGCGCCGCAGACGCTTTCGGCACTTCGGGCACCTTGGCGACGAAGGCGCCCACGTTGGGCTCGCCTGCTGGCGGTTGCGCCTGGCGCCACGGCGGCTGAGGCTCCTCCGACGGCGGCTGCTGCTGCACCTCCTGCTGCTGCTGCTGCTCCGCCCGCCACGTGCCGCTAGCGTCTCGGGCGCGACGTGGCGGCGACTTCGGCGCCGCGCCCTGATTGTGGACGGGGATGAGCGTCGGTCCTTGCTTCGCCACTGGCGAGGGGTCGCTGCTGCTGCAAGGGCACCCCGCCGCCTCCCAGCCTGGCGGCGCGGGATCGGCGATGATGCGATCCATGCCTGCCTCCTGCGCAAGGCAAGGTAAACGCCGAGAGCACCGTCGCTTCTGGGCCCTGCCCCGCCGCCGCCTGCATCCAGGCCAACGCGGGCGAACGGGGGCGGGGCCGCATGGGCGTCGGGCGCGCTCGATCCGTTTCCCTCGAGCCTGGGCGAACATCTCGAAGAGGTTCAAGGCTTCGGCGACCTGCGAGAAAAGCGATTGGCTCGCAACTGAAGCCGCCATGTGCACCTCAACAGGAATCCAGGAAATCAACCTGCACTGCCCAAGCGGACGCTTCGGGCTGAGCAGGCGTTTTCTGAATTCCCAGCGCCTCCGCGGAGTTGTCCACGGCGCTGCTGGCCGCGCCCTCGCTCGCCATGCGCCCGCGAAGCGCCCGCGGCCGCCGGCGGCAGCGGCGCGGGGAGGGGCGCCGCGGGACCCGCGGG